GCCTGGTTCTGCTGGAGGTTTCTTCCTGCTAAAAGGGAGTTTTTCCTTCCCACTGTTGCCTTTGTGCTTGCTCAGGATAGGAGACTGCAACAAAGTGAAGATTCAATGCGTCTGCTGACTTCCCTAGCTAGAGAACTTTAACAACTGGCTTTTATAATGTATGTGAATGTTTTTGTACAGCGCCTTGAGATGACTTCTGTTGTGACTTGGTGCTATATAAATAAACTGAATTGAATTCATGCTCAATAATCCAGGTAGCAAAATCTAACAAAATTAAGTAACTCTGTAGTTTCTTCTTGTTGAAATGTGTCATTTTAGAGTGAACAAACTGAGTTTGTTGCAGCTCCTCAGACTGAAGAAGTTCTTGGATAAAAGACGAAACGTTTCAACAAAAAAAATCCATCCATATGACCCGACTTAACCATTTTTAGATTATTCTACCTGGATTATTGATCATGAATCAGGATGTTTTAAACCAGTTTGTGCAGGACAGCCTCAAACTAGTTTGAGAGTTTGAGCAGGCAGCGGGGGAGAGGGCAGACTACAGGTACCACCAGGAGCACAAACAAACTGGTCTATTCATAAGACTGTTTGTTGCAGCTCCTCAGACTGATGAAGTCTTTTGGATAAATGAAACATTTCAACACAAAGAAACCATCCAGAGGACCTGACTCTACTTTGTTTGAATTGAACTGAATTGTTTTCTTATGTGAGATTTCTCAAAGTAACAACAATGTTGTGATGGAAAATAATTTATCACAGTATATTTGCACGTTTTGCATATATTCTGGCTTTAAGTTGTTCCATGGATGAACATGCAAACACACAATACTTTTAAAGAGTGTTTAGCCTCACGTTTTTCCTGTACATAGAGGTAACCTTCAAAACTAATTGGGCTGGTCTGTCTGTATTCTTGAGGCGCCTCTCTGATCCTCTTCTTCAGCTCATACACCTGAGACCTCGTGCCCTCAAATCGATTCCTTGTCTGAGTGAGAGAGAAAACAAACACACTCCAAAAAGTGACTTTCTGATCTAATGATCTACTGACTTTCCAAACAAACCAAGTGAAAACGTATAGGCTTTTTCAAAAAGCCCCTTCAACTCTATGAAAGATGATAAAATGTTTACAGTACACATGTAACTATTCAAACGATTAAGTAAATCTGTAAATAACAGTACAGCTAAAAGAAATTTGATGCATAAGATTTTCAGTGGCTTAATTGTAGTGGCAGTATATTTTTGAAAGAACAAGAAAATAAATGCAAACAACCTTTCCATAAGCTGCAAATAAGACGAGAAAACATGAATATTTCTTACATTCTGAATATTGATCTGCAGTGCTCTTTTATAATGATCAAAATCCTTGGCAAGCTCGTAGCCCTGATGGTAAAAGGTGAACACAGTCTGGAAGAAGGCCAGCATCTACAAGAAGACAAATATAAAAGTGTCATGTTGTAGCAGGAAATACAAAACTTCTAACAAACCAACTGTGCTGCATTAAAATAAAATATGACCAAACCATTAAAGATCACAACTAATGCCCAGTTGTAATTAAAGTGTCCTTCTTTTGACCAAATATATTGTTTCTTACTTTGTTTTACTCTTGACTATACATTATTCACAGGATCAGATGTAATAGAGTTTCCAGAAGCAGAATGGGAGGAAGATCTGTCAGTTTTCAGGCTCCTCTCTTGTGGAACCAACTTTCAGTTTCTGTCCATGAGGCTGACACATTGTCCAGTTTTAAGACTGGGCTGAAGTCTATCTTTTTTGATAAATCCGATAGTTAGACTCGGCTTGGGTATCCTGAGCTATCCCATAGTTATGCTGCTATAGGCTTATAGTGCTAAAGAACAAACTGACCTCATTTCCTCACTCTGCTGCTGTCTTTACTTGTCCTACTCTACCTGTTTGTATTTGTAATTATTTCTATTTTAACTGTTTTTTTGTCTCTCCTCCTATAGAAAACACAGTAGTCCCTCATTACTTCGCGGTTCGTTTTTCGTGGATTCGCTATATCGCAATTTTTCAAAATAAGATTGGACATGACAAATGGCTGATTGATGGATGAGCCATGGATTGTTTATTTAAAATAAAATATTTTAAATGATTTTGCAACATGTGCGCAGCCCACAAGCGCAGGGGAAGCTTCGACTTCTGTCTTCCAACTTAAAATTCAAAGTATGTCACATCGTAAAATTGTCATTATTACAAAATACAAAAGTTTTTAAAGTTATTTTTAATTATTTTAGAACTTCTATGTTCTGTTGTTTCAGTGTAATTGGTCAAGAAGTACATTTCTGGTCCATGCTGCAGAGCTGCGTGACATTCCTTTGATGTCCTGCTGTGCATCTCTTCCCTACAATTTAAATTTAAATACTGTAATATTTTAAATAAAAAATCCATGCCGAATGGATTGTTTATTTAAAATATTACAGTATTTAAATTTAAATTGTTTATTTAAGGAGGGAGATTGGGAGTAACAGGTCATGAGTGTGATTACAGCCTGGCACATGTCATGACAAAGTTTACTGAACTTGAACTGAACTTGAACTTGGACTACTGTATCCCTACTTCAAGGTTTCTCCACTTATCATGGGGGTCCCCAACACCCACGATAAACGAGGGACTACTGTATATCTGGACCTGTCACTCTGTTCTTTCCTCCTTCCTGTCCTCTCAAACCCAGCCGGTCGAAGCAGATGGCTGCTCGTCCTGATCCTGGTTCTGCTGGAGGTTTCTTTCTGTTAAAATGGAGTTTTTCCTTTCCACTGTGGCCTTCGTGCTTGCTCAGGATGGGAGACTGCGACGAAGTGAAGGTTCTGCTGGCTTCCTTGGATAGATAACTTTTACGAATTGTCTTTTTTATGTATGTAAATGTTTTTGTTCAGTGCCCTGAGACAACGTTGTTGATAATTGGTGCTTTATTAATAAATTGAATTTAATCTATCTTCCCTGACTGTGCTTTACCAATCAAACAATTACATCCATGTCCTTGTTATCTCCACAGTTTGTGTGAGACTATTATAGTCCATCTGATTCACTGAACTAAACTGTTTCACAGACTTCATTTAGTTTAGTTCACTTTTACAGTTACATCATGCGCAAATTGTAATCAAGTACAAATTTGTCTATTTCTACTTCTCCTCAAAGGTTTATTAACCAAAAGGTTTCAATCTAAACCTCTTTCCATAAAATATGTTTGAAAGAATGCACTTGAATTCAGTTGCTTTTGTCATGCACATACTGTTGTATCAGTATTTGTAACACTGTAACAAACTGTGATTCCAAACTGTTAATGTGAACGCAAAGCTCAAATCTGGGCTTGTATACCACTCTGATGAGTAACTCACCGGCTCCACACAATCAAACTTCTTTCTCTCTTGGATCTCCTGTAATTTGCACACGTAATCAAGTGACTCCTCCTGAAAGTGCTGTCTCACGGTTTCCACCTGGACGTCTGCCTGGAAGAGGTGGAGAGCATACACCAGGATAATTATAGCCACAGAGACGTGGAACCAAGGAAGAAACCGTGTCTAGCACTATAGTTTGGAAAACTGCTGGCGTTCAGTTGTTATAAAATACATGTGGAGTTGGCTGATCAAGCTCTATAACCTATTTCAAATAGCTAAAATATTCCTAAATAACAAATGTTTCTCAGATGGCTTTAAGACATTAATAATATACACGACTATATTCTCACCATTAAGATGAAGAAAAGCCACACAACCCCCACTTAACAGGAAAACAGAAGAAAACCAAGGGAAGTGCTGAAAAAGAGGAGTCGCTCTTCAAGGACAGGAAAGGCAGAGCCAGTTAAAGGCAAGATGGACTTCATTTAAAGAAGAAGAAAAAAACATTCAGATTGCTCAAAAGACAAGAAATGTTCTCTTGTTAAAAAAAGAGTGGCTTTTCTCAGCTTATTTTCATTGTACATTGCTCAGTTTTAGAGACGTTTAAGCATCATTTGTGTATTTTTTTTTTTTTTTTTACAAAATTTGTCATCTCAGTAAAGGCCTTTTCATCATGTTTCTGTATGTGCATCTTTTAATTATTTATATTTTCTTGATCTTTATTAGTGTTCAAGCAATAAAATAGCAGAAAAGAAAAACTGCAATCCTTTAAACTATTTAAACGACTGACATTGTAAAAGAGACCAAGAATACTACGACAATTAGGATTTCCACTCATCTCTTTCAAAAAACAAAAAAGTACAATCAAGACAATGCAAACTAATTTAGTGACCAAACATAGCAGCTTCCATGTAGGAAAAAAAAAAAAACAAGACTTTCACTTCTTTCAAAAAATAATAGGCAGATATGCAATGAGGAAAATAAGTATTTGAACACCATGTGACTTTGCACCTTCTCCCACTTAGAAATCATGGAGGGGTCTGAAATTTTCATCTTAGGTGCATGTCCACTGTGAGACATAATCTAAAAAATTTTTAAAAATCCGGAAATCACAATGTAAAACTTTTTAATAATTTATTTGTGTGTTACTGCTGCAAATAAGTATTTGAACACCTGCCAATCATCAACAATTCTGGCCCTCAAAGACCCGTTAGTCCGCCTCTAAAAATTTCACCTCCACTCCACTTATTATTCTAAATTAGAAGCACCTGTTTGAGGTTGTTAGCTGCATAAAGACACATGTCCACCCCACACAATCAGTACGACTCCAACTACTAACATGGCTAAGATCAAAGAGCTGTCCAAAGACACCAGAGACAAAATTGTAGACCTCCACAAGGCTGGAAAGGGCTACGGGGCAATTGCCAAGCAGCTTGGTGAAAAAATATCAACTGCTGGAGCAATTATTAGAAAATGGAAGAAGCTAAACATGACTGTCAATCTCCCTCGGACTGGGGCTCCATGCAAGATCTCACCTCGTGGCGTATCACTGATCCTAAGAAAGGTGAGGAATCAGCCCAGAACTACACAAGAGGAGCTGGTCACTGACCTGAAGAGAGCTGGCGCCACCGTTTCCAAGGTTACTGTGGGTAATACACTAAGACGTCATAGTTTAAAATCATGCATGGCACAGAAGGTTCCCCTGCTTAAATCAGCACATGTCCAGGCCCGTCTTAAGTTTGCCCATGACCATTTGGATGATCCAGAGGAGTCATGGGAGAAAGTTTTGAAGTCAGATGAGACTATTATGCGTCACTGCTGATGCGTTGTGTTTGTTGACAACCCAGAAATGTGGGCAGGTGTTGTGCCAAAAATCAATTGGCTGCCAAATGGAGGCTGAGGGAGCGTGCACGGGAGGACTTTAACAATAATTTAAGAAGATTAACTCTTGAAAACAATAATTTGTTTGCTCAACATTATAGTAAAGGTGTGTCTCAGTTGAACTTTTACTTAATAAATGCACTTTAATGGTCAAATTAGCTGCATTTGCCGGGGCGGCGCAGCAAAATGAAGCTGATTCGATGGTTGCTCCAAACATGATCCTGGAGTTGGACGAATGTGGCTGCTGTGGCAAGCCAGTTATGTCATTAATAGCCACTTTTACCTATTACATAACACAACGACATGCCGTACTACTAGAGTGCCATCTAGCAGCTGAAAATGGTAGTGTTCAATATTTTCCATGTCAGAATCAATGAAAACGGTCATATCTCAGTCAAAAATTAGTTTATAAATATGGGAGGAAAAAAAAAACATAAGTTGCTACGGTGTATAAGTCGCAGGGTATGCAAATTAGGCAAAAAGGTGTGACTTATAGGCCGGAAAATACGGTACCATTGTATAACAGCATAACTGCACAACTTTTGTTTTCAAAAGATCAAGTGCTGCCTAACTTTATTCCATGTAAAACAAATGTTCCTAAAGTTCCTGTTCATTATATATTTACTGTTCATGGAGTTGATGAAACAGTGACTGAGTGTTGAGTCACTTCATGACTCTCACAGCTGTGAATGCATCACTTGAACTATTTATTCGCAGGTGTTAAAAATCAGTGTTGGTACCATCGACTCTGTTGTCATAAGAGTCAGAGAGAAAATAGACTGCGGAAATAATGTTCACAGATTCAAGCGTCGTCTTCTGTGGGTATTCACAACCACATGGCATCAACTCAACGGCACAGAAACTTTGTTATGCAAGTGGAAAGTCTTGAAAATGTGAAACGGTGGTCTTGGGATTGTGCAGCAACTATTGTTCTAGAAACTGCAGAAAGCCATGGTCGCCTTGAGTGTAGTAGTAGAAATAACGAGAAAGTTCCTGGAGAAACGTTGACGGGGACTGCCACACAGGACTATGATGGGGTTCACTCTGAGCTACCACTCTACCAATTATCAGCTCAATATGGTTAAAAAATAAATAAATCAATGAGTTATAGTCATTTTTTTCTTTTAAGATACGATGGCCATCTTGGATTTTTTATTTGGATTCAGTATGTGATGGGGAACGTTTTCAGCTACATGTATAACCACACCAAATTTCAACTCTATGTGTGAAAATAGCTGAGTTAAAGCCGATGTAGCTTTGGTGGCCATCTTGGATTTTTGATTTTGACTCATTATGTGATGGGGAACGTTTTCAGCTATAACCACACAAAATATCTCTAAAATTAGCTGATTTAATAGTATTTTTCCTTTTGTAGCTTACGCTGCCATCTTGGATTTTTGATTTGCATTAGGAATGTATGAAAACTGTCTGTCTGCTACAACCAGAGCAAATGTCAGCTCAACATCTCAAAGAATGACTGAGTTAAAGCAGTGAGAAGCTGTTGTGTTCCATCAGGCATCAGCCACGGTAACTCAAAACACAAATAAAAGTAACACATCAGGGCGCCAAGCCAGTCATTCTGATATAACATTTGTGGGGGGTGCACGCTGCGGTTCGGGCCGCATTAAAGATGACGGAAGATTAAGATATAAAGTTAAGAAACCCTTGTCAGGTGAATAATAACAGGTACCTTACTAGGCAGTCCCCAATAATAATAAAAAAATAAATAAACATTTTCTTTGTAAGCAAGTGATGAAAACCACTGCAGGTGAACCTCATACTGTTCACCAGATGGTGATAAACAGGTCACTTCCTTTTAGCACCAAGCATCATAAACAAACCAAACAAATACTGTATGTCAGGTTAAGCTTGTGTTTTTGTCACGATAAGTAGGTCGTCACAGACTTGAGGCAAGGGTGAATACCTCTTGTAATTGTGGCTCCTTCTTCTTCGCCGACATATTCAAAAGCTTTTCCAGAGAGCTGTAATACTTTTCTGTTTCTTTTTCATACTTCTTTCTTTCCGCCTAAATAGGGAGGGGAAAAAGTGTTTGTTTAGGAAATAGGAACTAAAAACATTTTAAACCTTGCATATATAACAATTCATTTGCATGGAATTATGAAAAGGAGACAATTTTAATTATTAAGATACAGCAAGAATCCCAGTCCAAAAACACATACTGAGAGAAAAGGAAGTGAGCGTTACCCTTACTGCACCGAGCTGCTCTTTCCTGAACTTCTCCAGAGGTTTCATTAAAGTTTCGGTGATATTTTTCATCTAAAGACAAAGCAGATACCATCGTCATCATCTTGCTAATCAGTTTAAAAGCTCATTTAAATGATCCGAGGTCAAAAGTGATGGCTGTGCAAGACTTTTTGCCGCCATATGAAGATAGCTCCTTTTGATTGCAAGCCTAGACTTTCTCGTTCAGATTTAACTGATTGATATCGAACACACTTAGAATTACTTGCGAGGTAAAGTTTTAAAGCAAGAAATAAAGCTTATGACTTTTGTTTATGATGTGCACATGTTTAACGTCACATTTTAATCAGCATCTCTGCAAAGTCAGAGCTGGGCCGTTATGCTCAGGTGTCAGTAAATGTCTAAACTATGTCCTCAGTCGTTCTGGCTGCTGTAAATTCTAATAAAATATTTTTAAACCAGGTGTGAACTTAGTATTCATAAAAGCAAGACAAACTGCATTCCAAAAACTGAATCCAGGACTTCAAAGGTCAAAGATGAGACTTTTTTTTTCTGCTGTAGTAAAAATGTACACACTAAACAGTGAATTTAAGACACTACCTAATGCCTGTGATAACATAAGATTGGTGTAATTTTCCTGTGGTGTTTCAGCAGCGCTGACACGAGGACATGTCTGCGCTTGCACGCCTGTTTCCCTTACTTTGCACTGTGAGGTCACCGCACTCTGCAGAAGAGTGCTTACCACTGCGGTCTGAGTCTGAAGGAACAGTTTATCTCAATAACTACCGGTACTGATGATGGGTTCTCACACTAACCTCAGACTCTACATACAGGTATTATAAGACAGCCATTTATACAAAGTCTCGAGTCTCTGTAAACTGTGTATCAACGTTCATTGAAGTATGACAAAATAGCATAATATTCAAAATCCAAGTATTCAAATGGCATATTTCAGCTGACTGCTGTGAGTTTGTTTTTTGCAGATGTTGAAATACCCAACTTTAATATTGCTCTGTGCATCATAAGCTTAGTTTTATGACTGACTCGGTTGTTCAGTTGTGAGCTTGCAGCCTATTGCTGCTTATGACATCTAACTTGTTATTTAAAGCTTGGGTGTAATAATGTCATCATGCACTGCAGTCACCTGTGTAGACACTCCCAGGCAGGTGATGTGACAGTGACACTGAGACAGGTACAAGAAGGAACTGTTCAGACTTTTTCTATAATAATAAACAATCTAATTTGTTAGGTTTAATGTAATGGTTCCCAATACTTGTCCTTGAGGAACACCATCCTAGAAGTTTTAGTTGTTCCCCTGCTTTGACACATCTAATTTAAATGAATGGGTGGTTAACAGGCTTCTGTAGAACATGAGGAAGTAATTAAATCACTGAATCAGGTGTGTCGGAGCAAGAAAACTAAAACATGCAGGATGGTGTTCCTCAAGGACCTGGGCTTGGAACTACTGTGGATGCAAAGTGCAACACAAAAATTAATTTAGGTGTTTGTCTAAATTTATAATAGATGACTCTGTCAGAAACTAAAACCAAAAAAGTTGAAAGCTTTTTAGAGAAAGCGCACAATAAAAGTATTTTCACAGTAAAAAATAAATAAATAAATAAATAAATAAATAAATAAATAATGGGGGAATTAAATCCTAAGGAAGGCATGTGCATAAAGTTACACATGCCATTATCAATATGTATAATAAGATGTGAGACCATAATGAACACGTCCATGTTACCACTAACAATTTATTGCACTAAAAACCAAATACCAATTTTATGTATTATTATAATTTAGATAAATTCAAATACCAAATTACCATAAAAATCAGTCAGCTGGTTTTGATGGTGTTTTTGCTGCAGACAAGAAAACACATTTGGTCCATGCAGTCAGATAACAGAACTGAAAACTGATCTACTTTTCTGTATGGGACAATTTACTGAAGCATCATTTTATGGTAACTGTTTAATGAAAGAAATCTTGCTAATAAAATATACAACATAATAAAAAAATGTACGTCTGACTAAAATAATACAATCAAATAAAAATCTGAAAATCTATAAATTTCCAGGAGCTGATGCTCAACCTGTATGTTGTTAAAGAAACAAACGATTGCATTACAGCTCTGAACATGAGTGCTCATTTGTCTAAAGACACAGTGTTTACCGTGTTTTTAGCCTTTAACTCTTTAATGATTCTGTGTCTGTATCAGGGGGTCATTTATGCCATATAAGCAAAAGTATTTAGATCACGTTAAAGCAGGTTGCTGTAGGTAAGCAACAAATTGGAAAATACCTACTTCAGCTCCTGTTAAATCTTTTGTCATCATCCAGACTAATTACTTGTGAGAGAAAAAATCTGCTTTTCCTAACCTGCTTTTTGTTTCGTAAACATCATAAATACTTCACCGAGCACTTATTGCACACACAGATGCACGACTCAGATCAGTTATCTTTCCTGGTTTCATGTTTCTCACCATCAGCTCCCTTTGTTCTTCCAGGTTCTTAAGGAACGATGAAAACTCTTGTAAAGACTCATCTGTAGAACAAAATAAAATAATAAGAACAATGACTTTATTGCTCAAAAGGGTCAATTCTCTACCCTTTTTCTCAGAGCTACAACAGAGTGATTGTAAGTAAACAGGTGAACATTTATTACTTGTTCTTAATTTGCAAGTAGAGAAAGAAGAGTAAACAAACAATTTTAAGTGTGTCTATAAGGTGGTGACAAAATCAGTGTTTAGATTGTCATCCAACTAGGAGGCAAACACTTACCAATGCATTTCTCATCATCTGTCTTTGCATCCCCAATGTACTCGAAATGAAACTCTCCAAGGCAATGGGCAAACTTCCGCTGTGCCATCCCAAGCTCTAAAATCACATTTGAAACATAAAAAATATATATATTAATTGTAATAAATTCAACAACTGTAAAATGAGTAATATAATTTTAAGGCCAGTTGCTAAATCTGCTGGGATTCAAAATCTTTTTTCCAAGTGCAAACACTAAATTTATCAGATGTTTTTTTGTTATACTTTGCAAAGGAGTGACTTAACAAGCATCACTTAAACTGCCTTGGAAAACAATTTGATACACATAGTGATGCACTGAGATTGATCACACTGCAGATATCCTGTTTGTGCGTGCTGCTAAGTACCAAGCATCTGTTTACCACAGTGAAACCCACCACAGCTTACCATGTGCAATAAAAGAGAGCAAAGTGTATCTGTCTGGAAGTCAAACGTTATGCAAGAGAACCGTAAACAAAGATAGTATGCAATATACTGTGAAATTGTGCACCTACAGAAAGAATTAATAAATAAAACTACTCACTATAGATAAAATAACACAAATGTTGCTTATTATCTATGAAATACAATACCAAAAAATCAGCCAAAATAACACTATTAACTTTTTGCTTCTTTCGGCTGCTCTCTTCCTCAGGGGGCCGTCACAATGAACAAACTCGTACGGAGACTTGGCAATTGTTTTTATGCTGGATGCCCTTCCTGACTAGGCCTGTCGCGATAACAAATTTTGCTGGCGATTAATTGTCTCAGAAATTATTGCGATAAATGATAATATTGTTTGAAATTTGACAATAATTAGTAATTATTGTCAAATTTAAGGAGATGTTGGTTAATTTGTTTTGCGTGTAGTACATTTTTTGACCACAAGATGGCAGTATAAGACTGTTTGAACCAAAGGATGGATAGTGAGGGAGCGAGCAGCGTGTCTCTTTAAGAAAAATGGGAGGGAGGCCCCTTGACGTGACATGGGCCATCTCTCTTTCCTGTTTTTCAGTTCTCAAAATGGCGGACGCTTGGTGTGGCTTGAGCTCTTTAGCATAACATTTGTCACAGAAAAGTTTTAATAAAAATGTAAAAAATCAATAACCAAGTTTTCAGTATCTTTTTGCAGAGAAAAACAACTTTCTACATGAAGGCACGGGTTTCAACCGTGAATTTTGGAGCTTCAACAAGACGGAAGTTATTCCCCGAGGTCGGCCTGTTAGCTTAGCTTCTCAGCTTAGCTGCTTTTAAGGATCCAAAAACATGATTTTGGACGAGAAAGAGAGAGGTCAGTGAAGAGCACCGGCGTTTAACCTTTTGTTATCCAGTGTCTTCAGTAGAAAGAGAGAGACATGAAGAAACGATAAAGCTGATAAATGAAAATGAGTCGATAATTTTCATTTATCATGCGATTAATTGATTTATTGTTTATCGTGACAGGCCTACTCCTGACACAACCACAGACCAGCAGGCTACCACAGCCCTCTGTGTGGAGCAGAGAGCTGTCATCTAGGGTGCCCAGGGAAGCAGGTGATGGGGGTTAAGGGCCTTGCTCAAGAGCCCAGATTAGACAGGATGGAGGCAGGTGTGGGTGCTTCACCTTTCCCACCCTCATTTTGATGTTGTCAGTCCAGGGAGTTGAACCAGGGACCATACGATCACAGGCCCAGCTTCTCTAACCTCTGCGCCACCACTCCCCAAAATAACATATTTAACAATGGATGAAAATCATTTTTAAATTATTTCCCTTTAGTTTTTACCAAATCAGTTGTAAACTGGAAACAAAGTTTTTGACTTTTAAGGAATATTAAAGCTTTGTAAAATTTAATTACATTGTAATTGTAATTACAGTATTTTCCGGATTATAAGGCTCACTGTTGTTTTTGAGAAAATTAAAAGGATTTTACGTGCGCTTTATAATCCAAAAAATACAGTACAGAACTTGTGACACAAACATACTAGTATCTGTACCTGCAGATCTAACATGATTACATTTGTAACATACCTAAAACCAATATAAATGCCTAAAAAGATAAAAGTTAAAAAGAAATAAAAATCTACAAGAATCTAAAACAATAAATTTTCTCAGTTGAATCTTTTCACACACATCAGGAAGACAAAATTAGCCTAGACAGGAAGTGCCCTGTTTGAGCAAAGCACATGCAATCTATTTTTAGAAGCTGTTTTATTAACAGAGAGCTTTTTAAAATACTTTTATTACACCAACAACAAGACTAATAGTACAGACACTTAAATTTGTTTAGTTAACAGTTTTCCTTATTTTCCTAATGCTAATATTAATTTGTGACTACTTGTTTACTCGAGCATCGAAGTGTGTCTAGACCCACTGCAGCTGCAACACAGCTCAAATATGTGAGCTGTGTTAACCAATGACTGTCTGAGTTTGGGCAAACAACACAGTTTTTACTTAAATTATCTATTTTTAATCGTCCGATGTTCACTGCTGGTCATTGTGCACAGAGTTGAAGGCTCAGTGCACACTCAGTTACTCTGAGCTACAGGAAGCTTTGTAAAGTTTCCAAAACAATGATGCAGTTTCAGAATTACGTCACCACTTACAAGTGTTTGTTCATTGAAAAAACCTTCAGACTAAAAATAATATATTTTTGCTTCTGTGTGTGATTTGTGTAATTGTTGATATATAAAGAAATCTATATAAAAAATAAAAAAAAATAAATGTAAAATTTTAAAAAATATCTAAACATCAGACAGAACAAAAGACTTGAAACACAACTACATAATAAAAGCTTTTCTGCCAGAAGTTTAGAGCACCCTTCCCACACTCTTGCAATATTCTAAACAATGTTTCTAAACTCTAAACGCTCTAAAAGAACACAGAAAGTCGTGATTTCAGCTCCACTGCTCTCAGCCACCTGCAAGAGCTCTTGGCCACGCCCACTTCTCCACTCTGCATGGAGAACAGCTGATCAGCTGCAGCAGGAAGTTTATCCTGCAGTAAGAGCTGCACAGAGGTGCAGGAGGTGCTAAATAATTTAAATTTATTTTAAATAAAAATTTCATGCCAATCGTGCGGCTCATCTATCAATCAGCCAATTGTGTGTCATGTCCAATCTTATTTTGAAAAACCACGATAGAGTGAGTCCGCGATAAATGAACCGCGAAGTAGCGAGGAACTGTATTTTCTAAAGTCAGTTGTCTGTGGCAGCCATCTTGAATTGGGTTGGCTCCTAAACTTAACCAGTTGTTTATGAACACTTTTCCTGAGTGTTTTCCAGTTGTTTACAAGATGATTTGCTAACGGACAGAAAGGCTGAACTCCAACAATTAATAGTAGCATTTTAACAAAGATTTGTAATCAGAGCTCAGAGTATGTGTTGAGGATGACTCTTAGCTCCAATTGATAAATGACCTCATGACCTAACAAAACTTTAGATTGTTGTCAAAAGTGAAATGAGCCGTGATTCATTCTTCTGTATTGACGGAGTACCAACATGCTAAACCTTTTTACTTTAATACTTAAACAATCTGTGACAGAAACAACTTTATTCAAGGTTTGCACATTGTTAAATAATTCTCTGGATTTTTCCCATTGCGTGTGTGGGCACACGCGTGTGGGGTGGGGGGCTGCCATCTGGGGTGCCCTGGGGTTGTTGTGGGCCTTGTTCATGGGCCCAGGGTGGGTTTTGCACCTTTCACACCCACATTTTGATGTTGCTGGTCTGAGAGTTGAACCTTGGTTGGCTGGAGACTCGCTCACCCTCTCTAGCCTCTGCGCCACCACTCCCCCTTTGTTATGTGTTTATTTTTTATGAAACATATTTTTTCACACTAAAATTTAGTTTTTCCGTTCACTAATGTGTTAACATTCATTGTTTTGTTTTACAAAACATTAAAAGTGCATTCTGTGTATACTAGCCTAACACGCAAGTCACCAAATCTGAAAATTCTTGTCACCTGTAAGGCTGCAGAAAGTTAACACACACAACACACTCTTTATAGTTACATCATAACAGCCTACAGCCCGGGGGAACCGAGAGGCCAGCCGATTCTGGGTGGACGGATCAGACGGCATCTGCAGCCAGTTTCTTAGGATCCACTGTGGGATGGACCTTTACAAGAGATCCATCCTGTCTACAGCCATCAGTATTTATAACTTCTCTTAATGAAATGAGGATAACGAGTTACTACAACAAATCATTTCCCTCTGGGATTAATAAAGTATATCTGAATTTGAAATTAATTTGAATAAATTCAAATGTGTTGACCAGCAACAGTGAGCAAGTTAAAAAAAATAATAATAAAAAAACGATTTATATTTATTTTTTATTAAAAAAAAATAATGCACCTTCCCAGCACCATAGCAATTAGCATAATAATAGGGCTGGGCGATATGGCCTAAAATCAATATCATAATATATTGAGCAGTTCACCTCGATAACGATAAATGGACGATAACTGCAAGCTTTGTTTTTTTTTTTAAAAGTTCTACCCATTGGACCAGGTGGTTGTGTTGCAGGTGGTGGAAGAGGTTGGATGTGTTGCCATGGCTTGTCGCAACAGTCTTGGGGCATAGTTTACACTTGGCTTTTTCTGTTCAATATCGTCTTTGCTGAACCCAAAATGTTGCCAGACGACTAATGACACTTCTTTTTTTTTTTTTTTTTTATTAGCTTCTCCTCTTCCTCCTGGAGCAGCTCTGCCGCTGCTGCTGCCGCTTCAACATTCGAAATTTCCTCCATTTTCTCAACCACACTGTCTCTTTCACTTCTTGTTACAGAATGGATGGGGTGGAGTCACGTGACTACAGACTGCACGTAGCGCAGCGTCTTAAAGGGACATGAGCATAGCTTACCTAAAACGACTTTGTTTTTAAAACACCGAAAATACCGACATGGGCAATATGACGTCGATCATTGGTATAAATTTCGGTGTCGGTTAATTTTCGGTAAATTGCCCAGCCCTACACAATAATAAGATCAGTCACAACACATTTATCAACTCCACCTGGAGTGAATCTAGCTCAGTCACATGTGTTAACACTTAACTCGCTTGACTGACACCGCTCAGAGCTTTTTGATCACCACAAGTGTTAAAAC